CCCCCGTTTTGTACTTAGAAAAGATCTATCCTTCAAGGTGTCTAAGTGTTCACAGATTCAGCTTTTCACATTCTCGTGGTCCTGACATTTTAAGTTACAGTTTTATACCTTCTATAGAGCTGGGGTGGGGGAAGAAGAGGGCTAGATGTTGGACATTGAATATCTGGCACTCAGAGCTTTGTTAACTTCCTCCTAGGCTGAGATAAAGTGGGGTGGGGTGCAGAAGATGGTGTGGCAGAGCCTGGAGTGGCAGAAGGTTAGTCCTGGTCATGAGAGTTAATGGCCCTCTCTCCCCGCCTCCCTTCCTGGCACCCTGAGCCAACTCCTGCACTAAATATCCTAGCCCTATGAAATGATCAAGGCATTTCCAGAAGACTCAGGCTTGATCTGAACAAATGACATGTATACCTATGGAAGAAGTAATTATGAACTATGTCTATTAGTCTCTTACCTAGAGCTGAAGGGAGGTAGGATCTGGCTCTAGTGTATTCTTCATCCTCAGAGGTCTATCAGGATAGTTAATACTGTTTTCCAAGTGAGAAAGCCAAAGGATGGATGAGGAGTGACATAAAAGTATGAGACCCAGGCTGGTCTTAGAAGCTGCCAGGTTTGAAACATCTGGAGAGAAAAGACAAGGCAAGGAGAAAGAGGAACATGAGGACTGTGCTTATCGATCCAAGTGCCTCTTTGACTTTCTCCTCATAAATGCAAGGATCATACAACTGGTAACGGTCCTGGGGCTTACGTGTAAGGTGGGCCCTTTGGATTTTGCAATTCTCCTGTTGCTCTTAGAAAAAAGGGAGCCTCAAATAAAATTTACAGTGTGTCTTCTCTCTCCTTAAAGGGCCCTGGGGAGTTCCATCATTTTGTCTGTTGTCAACCCAGTCCTAGACAAAGTCTGGACTAGAATTCTCGAGACCTTAGCTTCGAATTCTCTAAATAGAACTAGGACTCTAATATACTGAATCATAACAATGCCTGCAGTTCAGACCTGTGGAAGTAGGGTCCGATTGTCGGCTTACTTGTACAGGGAGAGCAAGGACTTTTGGAACTTCTATAAGATCCAATACTTGTTCAGGATTAAGAATTTCTTATTCTTATCCTGCAGCTGTGCTATTACCACTTTTGATAACGGCATGTAAGTATTCCAGATATACCACGTGGCCTTTCGGGTGGGCAGGCCTACTATTAGAAACATTGGTTTCAGGGGATAAAAATCAAGCTCCAAAGAGCCCTAAGCAAAGTTGAAAAGTAGATAACTTTCTCTTGGACCACCCACTTCTTTTATCGATATCCATCTGCTTTCTTGTGATGAATCTTCATCTTAGTGACCATTTAGTGAGCATTACTGTATGCCAAGCACTAGAATTTTTTCATCCCCCATGAGTAATGTGAGTTCTATTGTTTTCCTCATTTCACTTATGAGAAAAGACAACGACATTGAGGCTTAAGGGGTGAAATAGCACCAGCAATTAGAGGGCCGGGGAAAGGCAGAATTGAGACCCACCCCAGGTGGGGGCCATGTGGAATGCATTTCCCCTGGGCTTGACTTTTCCTATTTCTGCTGTGATGGCCCTTCAGCCCTTTGAAGGTAAAAATAAGTTAGGGCTTACTCTCAGCCAAGATGTTAAGTGATTCTTAAGGCTTTTATGTAACAAACAGCTAAAACTGACTCCAGGCACTTTGCCTTTGCCTCTGCAGATGTTTATATTTTAAATAAGACTCAAAGACAAAGAAGCCATAGAGATGGGGGAACGGAGTAGGGTTGTCCTTAAGGCAAGGGCCACCAAAGATTCCTCAAATTATTACAGGCTAGTGGCTTTAAGCAGGGCATTCCACAGCACAGCTCTATACACATCACAGACAATTATTAGCGGGTTAAAAACCAGTTATTCTCATTATGTGTAAGAAGAGCACAAGGAAAGCTGCTTTGGTTCAATTAGTTTCTCCTACTGACAAAGCATCGGCTTTATGCACCAACTCCATATCTGCATCTGCAAGTTCGAAATGCCTGCTGTTTCTAGGTCAGGGTTCTGTTTTAGGTTTTATACAACACTTTGATTTATACTTTAAGAAAAATGAGAAGATGACGTCTAGTTCATGGAAAATTATATATGGTTTTATTTGTCAGTGTTTGGAATTGCCCAACATGAAGGTGAGCTTGTCATGTTGTTTTTTCACCAAAATGCTTTTATAAAGTTTTTGTCTTGTTTGTCTTTGACCACAATTTTAGTGCAAACATACTTTTGGATGATCAGTTTCAACCCAAAATAAGTGATTTTGCCATGGCTCACTTCCGACCCCACCTAGACCATCAGAGCTCTACCATAAGCATGACCAGCAGCAGCAGTAAACACTTGTGGTACCTGCCAGAAGAATATATCAGACAGGGCAAACTTTCCACCAAAACCGATGTCTACAGTTTTGGAATCGTAAGTACCAAGTTGACAAAGGAGAAAAATTTATCACATTCTGACAATTTTATAAAGGCTTTAACTTTTTGATCTATTGATTTCCCATTATTCACTGTCTTATACATTAATTTTGTGTGGTCAGTCAGAAATAAAATATAAAGTCATTAATTGGAATGAACTATATTCATTGTTAAGGTTAACAGTTGCTACTAATTGTGTGTATATATTTAACATACGTCACTGACTTTCTGTATCTTCTTTACAGGTTATAATGGAAGTTCTGACAGGTTGTAAAGTGGTGTTAGATGACCCAAAGCATATTCAGCTGGTAAGAATGATCTTCCTTCCTGCACCTACTTCTTGGTCATTTTTTTGATAGAGTTCTAAATGGGGTTGTATTCTTCTCTTCCTAGAGGGATCTTCTTATGGAATTGATGGAGAAGAGAGGCCTCGATTCATGTCTCTCATTTCTAGATAAGAACGTGTTTCCCTGCCCTCGGAATTTTTCCGCCAAGCTCTTCTCTTTGGCAGGCCAGTGTGCGGCAGCACGGGCAAAGTTAAGACCATCGATGGACGAAGTATGTATACAAAAATTTTTATTAGAAATCGAGCCCATAGTAACCATGGGAAATCTAAATGGAATAAATTGTGTGTCTAAGTGAATTCTTTATCAATGAGACACTCCAGAATTATCCCAAAGAGAATTCTAATCTAATAAATAGCTTTTCCGGGCGAAAAAGTCACATCATTTGGTACTCTGGCAGAGGACATTATTGGGCAGAACCAGGGCACCACAAAAAATTTAACGAAAAAACATATGAGTAATTTGGAGAGAATATTTTATTCAACCTTCATTAGGAGATCTGGCCCATTAAAAATGCAGTATGTATTTCCCTTATTGGTTTTTTTCTTGTTGATCTTTATTCATCCGTCCATTGATTTAATCATCCGTTCATTTGTTTACGATTAACGAATATTTATTTAGTGCCTACTTTGCATGTGCCAGACTTTGTGCTAGGTCCTGGGGATACGACAGCGATCAAGATACAGTTGTTGCCTTCAAGCCCACAGTCCATAGGAGAGTCAGATTAGTAAACGTGGAATTTCAGTAAAGAGAGCTAGGCATAATGGTAGATGGGAGCACAAGCCAAGAAGGGAGCACAGAGTCAGAACACGTTCTCACCTATGGAAGTCAAGGAAGCTTCTTGATGGAGGTGATGGCTGAGCTATGACTTGAATAACAGGTTGGATTTAGATAGCCTTAAAGATGGAAGGATATCCCAGGCAGAGAGAATTTACATCTGCAAAGGCTCAGAGGGGATAGATTTTATGTTGCTAAGACTAGAGGTAGTTCTGCATCATGGAAGTAGGATGGTGGTGAGGGACAAGTTGGAGTAGTTTATAATGATAGAATGTCCCAGGTGATACAGAGACATGAATTCCATTCTAAGGGTTTGGGTTTCATCCTGAGTCTACCATAGAGCTGTGGAAAGGTTCTAAACAGGAATTGATGTAATCAGAATATAAAAAGCACTGGCCTGGGAGTCAGGTGAACCATATTGCAGGCCTGCCACCACACACCAGTATTAGCTGTATGGCCTGGAATCTTGGGCCCAGAAAGGAGCTACATGGTATATAGTGGAGGGGACATGGAAATGGGAACCAGAGATCTAGGGTCAAGCGACCAGTCTGCTCCTTATTGGCTAGTGATATGGATTCCCTTTTCTGAGCCTCAGCTTTGTTATCTATAAAATGAGTATAATAATGTTGTTTGTGCAGATTAAATGAGGTGGTGTGTGTGAAAGCACTTTGTAAATTGTAAAGCTCCCTATATTTTTTGTATTTCTGATATTTCTGGGTTTTATAAATTACGTGTGTGTGAGAAGGTATATGTTATTTTATATCAGGTCAATGGTTCTCAATTTGGGCTGCACATCCAAATAAATTGGGAAGCTTTTAAAATACAGATTCCTGGGCCCTCACCTCCATATATTTTGAATGACAGTCTTTTGGTTGGGGCTAAAGGGTCTGCATTTTAAGAACGTTCCGCTAAGTAAATCTGGCATTTGAGAACTATGGATGGGGTCCCTCATCCCCTGACCCTTCCAATCTTCCACATATTAAGGTTGAGGTTAAACAAACGATGAAAGGCTGACCCAAGGTCACAAAGTAGTTGGTGGCAAATCTAGGCCTAAAGTCAGATCTCTTGATATTTAATTCTGTGCAGTTTCTTTCATACTTTGCTTAACTTAATTTACTCATAAAATGAAGGAGATTAGCTAATCTTTAATCCCTACTTATTCCAAATACTATAGTAGAACTTTATGCAAATAAGAGAATATTTCTTAATAGGCAGACAGGAAAAAGGTAAAAGAAAAGGTTATTTAAGCTGAACTCGATGTTTGTTTTCTTCTTGGTTAATTAGGTCCTAAATACTCTTGAAAGTACTCAAGCCAGCTTATATTTTGCCGAAGATCCTCCCACCTCCCTCAAGTCCTTCAGGTGTCCTTCTCCTCTATTCTTGGATAATGTACCAAGTGTTCCAGTGGAAGATGATGAAAGACATTCACTGCTTTGTGATAAGCATTTGAAAAGAGATAGAATGACTCAGAAAGTTCCCTTTGAATGCAGCCAGTCTGAAATTACATTTCTGGGATTTGACAAAAAGACAGGGAGTAAGAGAAATGAAGATGCTCGCAACATGCCCAGTTCTTCTTGTGAAGAGCGTTGGTCTCCAGAGCATGCAGTTCCCTCCCAGGACTCAAGGGCCTATGATATGAAAGTGGATGCGTCTACAGAAGTTCCAGGCCATTCTTACAGGAGCAGGCCAGTGGAGGCTAGCACTTCCTCCAAATTGTTTTGGAATGAATGTGAACAGTACAAAGAGGAATCAATTTCACCAGAAGATAAAGAAGATGGCAAGTATTAATGAGGCACCTGAGGATAGGTCCCGTCCTGGGAAGCCATTGTCATCATAAGTAATGCCAAGAGGATGATCAGTGGTGAATCTGGGTAATGCAGATCAACAGTCTGGACAATCCTATCCTTTCTAACTCGCAAAACAGACCGGCTTCGAAGTTTGTTTTATTGGCTAATTGCCTCATGATCAAACCTAGGCTAAATTAGAGCCGTTCGAGATTACTTAAGATCTTGGACAAGATCTTAATAAAATAATAAGTCAGGTTCACCTTTGGCTATGACATATTCTGTATAGAAAGGAGATTCTTGTCCAAGAATCTTAAGTAATAGGCTCTGACTTCAGACAAACAAAACAATCAAAACCTACCAAAGAGAAACTAGATTCTGATGTCTACTGCATCAACACCAAGATGAGTCCTCAGAGCCTCTAGTCTGCTAACTATGTTCAGTTCAGTTGGATTCCATTGTGTGGTTTAGCTTGCTTGTGAAGGCTGCAGGAATGTCTAGTTTGTAAATGTTAATAGATGCCCTTTAAAGAACTGCCTTTTCATTTATTTTGATTGACCCTTGGTACTTTTCTGTTTATCCCTGTTAAGCCTGTCTGTCTGAAAATAAGTCAGGTTCACCTTTGGGTATGACATATTCTGTATAGAAAGGAGATTCTTGTCCAAGAGCTGTATTCTGTATTTAAACACTTAGGATAGTTTATAACACATTGTATAGTTATTGACTGTTATTACAATTTCTTTTTTACAAACGTAGGAACCTGTTATATCCTGAGTAGAGTGTTTGAAATTTTAATCAAGTAATTTTGTTCCTGAGAAAATGGCTGGTCAGCTTTAGGTTTGATTGTGCTTTTTCTTCTGCTGTTTACTGCATCTCTCCCTTTTGAAGTCTTATCCAATCCTTCAGGGCCATCCTTCTGGAAGTTTTCCTAACCTCTCCAGCAAGAAGTACTCACTTGACCAGCATTTCCATAGAATTTTTTTGGTATTTCTATTTTTTACCAGTCACTTTCTGAATTACATCTAATTTGTTTGTGTCATCTTCTTTCTCTTACTAGATTGTAAACTCCCTGTATTAGTTTGTTATTGTTGCTGTAACAAATTATTACAAATGTAGTGGGTTAAAACAACATAAATGAATTATTTTACAGTTCTGGAAGTAAGAAGTCCTTGGCATTCCTTCCAGAGGCTTTAGGGGGAGAATTCATTCCTTTACCTGTTTAAGCTTCTAGAGGCCACCTACATTCTTTGGCTCATGGCCTTTTTCTCCATCCTCAAAGCCAGCAACATAGCATCTTTAAATCTAGATCTCTCTCTTTATCACCTCTTTCTTGTACTTTGGCCCTCTCTCTTATAAGGATCCTTACGATTGTATTGGGTGCACTCAGAAAATCCAGGAAAATCTCTGCATCTCAGGATTCTTAATTTAATCACACCTACACTTTCCCTTTTCTCTTGTAAAGCAGTGTATTCACAAGTTTCTGGGATTAGGACATGGACATCTTTGGGGAGCTATTACTCTATCACATTCCCTGGGTGTGTAGTGGCCATACCTTCAAGTCCTTGTGTGTTATCCTATAAGGATCAGGTGTTGCCTTATCAATTAAGTTGAATTAAATTATCTCTATGAACCCATGTAATCAAAAATTCAGCTATAGTAAACATTGCTGAGTAGATTAACAAAGTGAGGATAATGACTGTCTTTATGATGATGGATGGAAACACTCCAAGAAAACTATTTCCAAAAGATTTACAGAATCCCCCTCTCCAGAACATTTATAATAAAAGAGTAGACCTCTAGTTTTCTGTGCATGAGGAAAAGGCACATGCCTTCGTGTTTGTGTGTGTGTGTGTGAGTCAGTGTTGTTGGGTTAATCATACTTGGATTGGAGTTCAGATTCAAGAACAACTAATCAAAAAAGGAAGTCAATCAGGAATCAGGGCCAAGTTAGCAGAGCAAGGTCAGAAACATGGAACTATAATTCTGGGGAAAAGGATCTCATGGCAGAATGTGAGGTTCAAAACACAATAAGTCTTAGTCTAATTGACAGGCCAAAAAAAGACCCCAGGTAAACAGTTGAGAGAGGCCATGTTCACAGGCTGTGGTCTGTAGCGGACTTGGCTGTCCAGTGCTGTCTTCTCCATCTGATCATGATGTATGTGTTCAAATGCTTCCAAACTGTCCTCGTGCTAAGGCTAGTAGGGGGAAAGGGTTGGACTTGACTTCATATGATTTTAATTCTTGTGACCGGTCCTAGTGGGCAACTCTTGATTACACATGTTAATGAAAAGCAGTAGTAAACGTCTTTGGCATTTGGCTTTATATACTGCAGACCATTCCAAGGTTGATTTAGTTTATTTAAGAGATATGGTCTGAAAGTCTTTTTGGCTGAATTGGAGAAATTAGCCTGGAATCAAGGGAAGTTGCCACTAATAATTCAAATGAGGTAATCAAGATAATCAAGAGCTGACTCTATTTTAAACTGTTTTTCACTTTGAATCTGGACCCCACAGTACCTTCAGTGAGAGGCCATTAAGGAAGCTCTGATTAACAGCAGGCCTGTGCCATTACTCAGCACATGTGTAATCTGTTGCTTTTATGTTGATTTGAAATTGCTTATTTGACTTAACGCGGTGTTTCTCGAACTCGAATGTGCATCAAAATGATGTGGAAGGCCTGTTAAAAACACAGATTGCTGGGCCCACCTAGTTTCTGAAGCAGTAGATCTGGGGTTAGAAATCTGGCTTTTTAACAAGTTCCTGGTGCTGCTGCCACCGCCGATGTACAGGCCACTCTGAGAGCCGCTGCCTTAAAGTTTTCTCAAATTGTTCAGGTAGGCAGATTCTCTCTTTCCATCTTGGTTGTATGTTTTTTGAAAAGAGTATAATTTCTTTTCATTCTTTTATATTTACACTATTACCTAGGATTTTATTTAACGTAGAGTAGAAGCTCTAGAAATACCCTTAGTCAATGATCTTTTGACTAGATCACCTTGCTGAGGAGTGACTATTTTGGATATCTAAAGGACCAAGTCAGATTAGCTGTCAATAACCTGATTAATGGCAGTCTGAGCAAATGCCACTGTGACTGGAAATTACCAATTTTCTGAGTGACCTAGTCCTCCTGACTAGATTTGCCTTCTAGTGGTTGTGTTAATAAATGTTAATTTATAAGAATTAAATCTTTCATTCTGCCATGGGCACTAAGAGATACCTCCTGGCTTCATGATGTGGTGACTAAGATACATGATCAGCAAACATGAATTAGTAAAGAATTTCCCTCATTTTTATCCTCATAATACACCGTGGACAATCCTCCAAGCAGATCCTAACTGTTAAGGTTTTTGTCCCATTTTGTAATGCCCTAAAACATGGAGAAAATATTTTGTTGTTTTTGAAAATAGGTATGGGGTTTCAGACACAATTAATTTTTATCGACTTCTTGATAATTGTAATGATCCATGACTCACTACATAATAGCATAGTTTCATGCAGTGGTACTTCAGCCTGTGTAAAACGACTTTTATGACCTGAGGTACAGTGAGCATAGGAAGTGAGGATTATCCTGTGTAGCATTTATTAAGCATCTGCCAGAATCCAGGCACTGTATTGGCCACTAGGACACCAAGTAAGGAAGAAAAGGCCCCAGTTAACAGTTTGGTGACATCTGTTATTCGAACCACAAACTGATGGAACTGAAAGTAAGGGCTGAAAGGGTGAGGTGGAGGCAGAGATTACTGTGCACTTTCGAGGGGGTAAGGAAAGCTTCTTGGAGAAGTTTGCTGGAAAGAGAGAAGGAAGTAAGAGAAATAGAAAAGAATAACCAAGAAACACTCCAGGATGGCTATCCAAAGAATTGGAGGCCCACAGCTCTACCAGAACTCTGCAGAAACCCATCTCCTGAGTTGGAAGAATGGGGTGAAGATGAAGAAAACTGGGTCCAGAGCTTAACATTTTTTTTCCTGTTTAAGCCTCACAGCCACTCTGAAGGTATAAATCCCATTTTATACATGAGGAACTGATTCAAGGAGGTTAAGGAACTTGCCTGAGGTCTTCCCAGATCTGGAAGGGCCAGAATTTGAACCCATATCTGTCTGACTTCTGAGCCCATATTCTTTCTTGTATTCAACATGGCACAAAGAAGCCACTGCAGGTTCAAGCTCCCATGGAAAGGGATGAATGTGAAGTCATTTATTGATTTCACAAATTTTCACTAGTCACACAAGCCATGTTTTCTGCCTTTTTCATTATCCTGCCCCTCTGCCGCAGTTACCCACCTCCACTGTCATTTGATGTGAGTTAAATGAATTCATCCATCCGTCTGTCCGTCCATCCATCCATCCATCCATCCATCCATCCATCCATCCATCCATCCTTCATTCATTGAACAAATATTAATCAACAGCCTCTTTTGTGTCAGGCACTGTTCTAGGAGCTGGGGATACAGCGAAGATCAAACCCAACAAAAATCTGTGCCCTTATGGAGCTTACGTTTGAGTGAATAAATGAATGGGTGAATAGGAAGCACAGTGAGAGAGTTTTAATCTCAGTTCTAACACTAACTGGCAGCTCTCCATGAGACCAGTTGCACTGAGCCATCTCAGAGTGTTGTCTGAATAAAGACCCTGGCTTCTCTGCCAACTCTTTCATAGGGGTTCGGGGAGGTTTTCTCCTTGTCCTGTTGTACAGGTGATATCTCATGGTAGCCCATTGCTTTGCTATTAGTGTGCACTAAGCAATCTATGGCAGATTCTATTCTTTTATTGACCTATGATTCTTTGGGGGCATTTATCTGGCTACCAATGGCATCTTCAACAGGCTTCTTCTAAGTAATCTGAAGCACCTACACATACCTCACCTCACTATCATCCCATACTGGTATTGCCCGTTTGTTTCTCTCTTGTCCTTCACAAACTGAAACATTTCTGGGGGCAGGGGTTATATACTGCTCATGTATCTGGCACATAATATGGCCCAATATATACTTGTAAAATGAATGAATCAAAGTCTTTCAGAACATCTTCAAAATCATTGATATCTAATGTATCAAGACTATCATCTCATTGCACCCAAAGTTTGTCTTTCTAATAGTCATACTGTCACCAACTGATTGTTTAAATGATTCCATCTCACCATTACTGGATAAAAATTACTAATTTCAAATATTAATATCTGAGATCTCTGAGAAAAGGAGTTTGACTGTGTACATTTCTTAAAAATTTGCTTTATGGTAGAAGATATTCCCAAACCATGTTTAAGCAATGATAAAGCAACATCTGACAGGAAATAAATTGATGTTCATTGTATTTTGTTTCCATTTTCTGTCCCAAATCATTTATAGATATTTGATGGTCCATTGGACTTGATATGCTACTGTTTCCTTGGGAGGCATTTTTATTTCAAAGATCTGCACTGCCTACCGAATTTTCACATAAGAGCTTTCTAATTGATGTCATCTGCCTCATTGCAAACTTTGTGGTCATCTCCATAAACAGAGATATTTCTACAAGTATTTCCAAAGTTTTTCATTTGCTCCTTAATTGTAAAATTTTCTTAGAGACCAACATTAATTAGAATGAAGGCTAAGGAGGTAAAAAGAGCTTAACTGCAGGAGATTCAGACTCAGTTAACATTGATGTGCCCAATAGTGTGCTAGGTGCATTCATATATTTGAGCTTTAAACCCCTATTGAGCTAGGTTCTATTACTGTAAGATCAAGGGAAATGATCTCAAGGATATTGACTCTCATCCTGAATCACACTAACATTGGAGTGAGGATGTGAACTGAAAACTGTTTACTTAAGTCCAGGAAATATCTGCTCTGAAAAGAGTTAACTTAAAAATAAAGAGTATCCTATTTGAAAATGAAAGCAGCCAATAAATATGTGTTTATTATTTTATTAGTATTAAATTTTATTCTCTCAGATTGGCAGATATTGAAGTAAGACAAGAATATGGGCAAATGGGCATTCTTGTTCACTGTTGGCAAGAGCAAAAATTGTTACAACCTTTCTAAGAAGGCAATATGTATTAAATTTGGTGACAGGTATCAAAAGTTTAAATGATATACTTTTACCCAGCAATCTGTTTAGGAATTTATCTTACTAAATAAGAATTACACAAATGTGTAAATGAGAGGGCAAAGATATACTTTATGATGCTATGATATTAAACATTGGAAATAGCCTAAATGTCCTTCAGTAGATGGGTTTAATAAATTATAGCACATATATACAATTGAGTTGTATGCAACTGTCATTAAAGATTATTTAGATCTGTGTTTATTGCTATGGAAATTTGTCCCTGAAATATTATAGAACGTAAAATTGACTCCAGAATAGCACATTTAATATAAGCCCATTTATAACATTGGATATCTTAGAATAATATATATTTCATAGAGAGATCTTTGCCAATAGGTTAATGATGGCTTTTTTCTGGGCTATGGTATTTGGGTGATCTTTACTTTTTTAAACTTTCATATATTTGAAATTTTTATAATGAGCATGTATTCTTTTTATTACCTGAAAATAATAAAACTTTTTATTTTGGAAAAAATATCCTATACATGTGTATATTTGCCTGGCTTTTTGCTTAGTTGTGCCGTTGGTAACAACTGACAACTAGTCATGTGCTTCTATGCCATCACCCTTTGTTATTTCTGTCTTCTAAGCTTAGTGACGGAAGCTCCCACATAGATTTGTCTGGTATCCCCTGAGTAACATTGCTTATAAAAAAGCAATCCAAGAGGCAAAGCTGGGCAAACTGAAATACAAGAATAGAGGACAGATTACAGTGTACAATTGAGAAGACTTTAAATATTAGTCTATTTGGGTAAAATCTTTTAAAATTACCCTTAATATCTCTACTTACAAATCAGTACTTCAAAGAGTAACCTACAGTTAAATTTAAAAATCTTTGGGGAGATAAAAGTATCCATTCCCCAGATTTGTGCCCCACTATCCCTTTTTAGCCTGCATAAAATTTTTAATTTGCTGAATTAAGTAGACTCTTGGCTGTAGTTATCAGATGAAAATAAAACTTGCAGTAGTGCAGGGAAAGTGTGACTGAATACATTTCTCCAGCAGGTAGAGATGGAGCCTGTGTAACAATCCTAATGGGATCCAGACTAATGCATTAATTATAAAGGGAGATAGCAAAGTATACCCCAGGGTAAAATACCAATTCTAATGAATTCTATCTGGAAGGACTGTTTTATGGACAAAAGTAAGTTACAGAGGTGTAAATATGATAAGAACACTTCCTAGGCCAATCTAACTAAAAGATAAATAAGTGCAGGGTCATTAAGAGCATAAGACAGCCACAGATTTTGTCCTTTTGATACCAAATGAATGTATTGATGCTATTTTTCTGTTTTCTGGAAAGGAAATGCCAGGTAATACCAATGGTACCATCACTGCAAAGATTTCGGCAAAAGAAAAGTCAAGGAATTGAACTCATAAATCTAATGTAAATTAGAGTTAGTGTGACAGCACATTGAAATGAGGTATAAATAACTTCTAGTGGTCTTCTTAATCTTCTTAATCCCATTATTCACTAATGATAATTTCATGTCTTTCTGAAAGTGTACTAATTACAGTGCACTTGCCGAACCATTAAACATCGGGCCTTGTGATATTTCTTTTTCTTTTATGTTTGTACCACAGGATCTTTAAATAGACTTCACTGACTTCAGCCAAGGGCAAATATTAATCTATGATCTTTTATTGTTTTTGTTTTATATACCCTAGAGGAAAATATAAGATTCCAGTATGCTTACAGAGCC